CATCTCGAGCGAGAGCGCGATTTCCAAGAAAAACGGCGACAAAGCCCAAAGCAAAAGCGTGATTCCTGAGCGCCGAGGGCACATCGTCTGAATAAATTGCGAGGACGTCCCACGCGAGAGCGCGATTCCTACATAAATTCTGAGGAAGTCCCGCGCGAGAGCGCGATTCTCCAATAAATTGAGAGGAAGTATTAGGCGGGAATCGTTGTTGGTGTAGTTCGGGGGCAAATAACGCCGTTTGAGGAGGAGGACGTTCCCTGATAAAAACAGGGTGCGAGCCCCAGGAGTGGCACTTCAATTGAAAAACACACATGTTACCAGATGGGGGATCAACAAAAAAAGGTTGGGAAATGAGAGTTCGACAACAATAATAATAACAACAACAGCAACAGCAACAGTAACAACAACAACAACAACAACAACAACAACAACAACAACAACAACAACAACAACAACAACAATTACTAGCACGTGGGGGCACTCCGTTCTCACCAGTGCCAGGGTTTTCATAGGAGGCGGGCAATACCCCCACTTTGTGGGGGGGCCGGTTCAAGCTCTACCAAATTTCCAAACGACTCTTCGCCACCACCCACACCCAGCTTCCCGCCCTATGACGTTCGGACACTTCACTTCGTGGCATGCGGACGACCGTGGCTACTATTCAGGGCCCCGCGGCCGACGACGACGGCGTGCGCGCGCGAAGAAAAAACGAATGTGTCCCGCATGGTATTATTTGACAGGGATGATGGCCCTGGCAGGTGCGCAACCGTTGTCGCAGAAGTTCGAAAAAGTTGCTCGCAAAAGCCCGTTTGACAGAAATGTTTAAAAAGTGTTGGGTTTCCTACGAATCCGCAAGAGCGCGCGGGATGAGATTTTGACATTTTTTTGTTGAAAAACCATTGGTTTTTTGATGTTTTTATGTTAAAATCGCTGCGAACACTAAGGTTTTGGAAGGATTTCGTCTTGCGCGCGCGAATGTCCACTTTACCTTATTTTTTGCAAGGGATTCTTGAAATTTGATTATATTAGAACAAGAAATGTCATTTTCTATTGTTTTTTGCAAGGGAAAGCGGATTACAACAAAACAACCGGATCCTGTACACACCCTCTTTTCTGAGGCTTCCTCACGAAAATGATGAAAATGTAGCTGCGGCCTAGGCGGCGCAGGGGGGGCGCGCACCAGGGGGCCCAACAATAATTATTCTTTAGAATAAATAATGTTCAACATCGACATCAACAACCACAACAACAACATCGACATCAACAACCACAACAACAACAACAACAACAACAACAACAACAACAACAACAACAACAACAACAACGACGACGACGACGACGACGACGACGACGACGACGACAACGACAACGACAGCATCATCATCCTCACCATCAGCATCATCAGCAGCAGCAGAATCATCACCACCATCATCATCATCACCATCATCATCAGCAGCAGCATCAGCATCAGCACCATCATCAGCAGCAGCGGCGGCATCATCATCAGCAGGAGCATCACCATCAGTAGCATCATCAGCAGCATAATCAGCATCATCAACAGCATCATCATCAGCAGCATCATCGCCATCATCACCAAGCGTAATCGGAATCATTATCATCATCAGCAGCAGCATCATCATCATCAGCAACATCATCATCACAATCATCATCATCATCATCATCATCATCATCATCATCATCATCATCATCATCATCATCATCATCATCATCATCATCGTCATCGTCATCGTCATCGTCATCGTAATCGTAATCGTCATCGTCATCAGCAGCAGCACCACCATCATCATCAGCAGCAGCATCATCATCAGCATCGCCATCATCGCCATCATCATCAGCACCACCACCATCAGCCATCTACCTCGTCCTTACCTTGATCGTCATTCTCCTCCTCTCCCTCCCCCTTCCCCTCAGGAGGAAGGACGGGGAAGAGAAGGAGGAGGACGACGACGAAGACGACAGAGACCACGAGCAGGGACCCCGGCCGTGGCGACAGAGGCGGTGCCCCAGGAACAGGGGAGAACAAGAGCCCGAAGCGCTGAGAGAGCCTCGCTCCTCGATCGCCTGTCGATCGATCGATCGAGGATCGGTCGAGGAATCGATCCAACGCCACGATCCTCGGGGAGGAGGAGGAGGAGGATGATCGAGAATCGATCGATCGAGGATCGGTCGAGGAATCGATCCAACGCCACGATCCTCGGGGAAGAGGAGGAGGAGGAGGTGGATGATCGAGAACCGATCGATCGAGGATCGGTCGAGGAATCGATCCAACGTCACGATCCTCCGGGAAGAAGAGGAGGAGGAGGAGGAGGGGGAGGATCGAGAATCGGTCGAGGATCCAGGATCGGTCGAGGAATCGATCCAACGTTACGATCCTCGGGGAGGAGGAGGAGGAGGAGGAGGAGGAGGAGGAGGATCGAGGATCGCTCGAGGAATCGACCGATCCTCGATCCTCGACCCCCAGGGGGCAGGAGCGCCCCCC